AAATAGAGCTTTCTGCAGATAGATCACTTCTGGCTTGGAGAAACGGGGGTCTGGAGGGCGGAGCCCCCCAGCCTTAACAAGTTAAAAAGTTACAAGGTTCAAGGTCATGTTATCTGTAGATAAAACAACTCTATTTAGAATGTAGGGGGGTCTGGGGGGCGGAGCACCCCAGCATTCAACAAGTTAAAAAACAACCGACAATGGACAAGCCATTGCCTGCCGCAGGCAGGCTAGCGCCGCAGGCCAAGGTAGGTACGCCAGGCGTGGATTGGAGGAACAGGCAGCGAGACATCGCGAAGCCTGTTACGACAAGACGCGGTCTGGCGTAAACCTACCTTGTTAGTTGGAGGCCAAAATCATCATCGGCCTCTGGCTGCGTTCCACTTGGGTGTCCGGGACTTTTCACTTCAGCATCGTGTTAAGGGGGTACACCAGTGAAAATGTAGAGGTTTTGTAAAACGATCATTCTGAGAAAAGTAACCTATGTATTTGATTGAAATTTTTTTCGTGGCTCAAAATTATATCAAAGAAAAGAAAAATCAGTATGCGAGGGTGGGGTGGCGATGGCAAGACGGAGCGCCAGTGCACTTCAGTTTTCTGCGACCTTGTCTCACTCCTGCCACGATTCCGCCTCTCTGGATTGAGCCTCGAGCACGGGATTTGAAAATTTCTCAACAGGACACATGTGGCCATGGTCTGAACCACGGGCATGCAAAAAGAATGATTTTGAATTTGTTTTTTCAGAGGGCAAAAATAGAAACAAATTTTTTAACCTAATTTTTTGCGCTTTCATGGCTGCAGCTCACGTCCTATTTATGGGATGGTCATTTCCGAGGTTCAGACCATAGACGCAAGTTTAACGAACATTTTGCCGCAAACCACATTAATTTATCTCAATTTTTGCGCCCGTGAGAGTGGCACAAAGGTACAAAAAAGGTGTTTTGAGAAAAAGCCCTTTTCGTAGAAACATAGATTTGACGTGTTTTTTCGGATTATAAATGCGCCTTTTGAAGTATTTAAGTTCGTTTTGCGTCAAAATGACCCTCTTTTCAACTGCGTTTGGGTGGTTCAAGGGTTTTGTAATTAAACTTTAAGTGAAAGACCTGAACGTTCACAATTGGTCTTAAATATCCAAAAATAATAACCCTTTTAGCAACTTCAAAAATGTGCACAAGCCAAAGTAATTGGAATTTTGGGGTGGGGTTTGCGGCATTCGACTCGGGATGAATAGCAGAAAAATAAGATAAAATAAAAAAGAAGGCAAAAATTTGACGATTTTCACTGGTGTGCCCCCTTAAGGTAGTGCTAGACTACCAGGAACCCGTCAGAGGTCGCCGTCGGACCACCGGTGCGCCCAGGATGCCGACGTACGCGGCTGCTGTGCCGCCACACGGTTCAACACCGTTGTCGCCACCACCCAGGTGGTCCCCGATGGTGCCCTCGAGGTCCCCAGCACACGGGGAGTCCAACGCCGAGGTCGCCGACGCTCTAGGACAAGCGGTTCCGGAGATACGAGGACGTACCGCAAGGAGTCCGTCAAAGCAACGTTTTAGTTGGAGGCCAAAATCATCATCGGCCTCTGACTGCGTTCCACTTGGGTGTCCGGGACTTTTGACTTCAGCATCGTGTTAAGGTAGTGCTAGACTACCAGGAACCCGTCAGAGGTTGCCGTCGGACCACCGGTGCGCCCAGGATGCCGACGAACGTGGCTGCTGTGCCGCCACACGGTTCAACACCGTTGTCGCCACCACCCAGGTGGTCTCCGATGGTGTCCTCGAGGTCCCCAGCACACGGGGAGTCCAACGCCGAGGTCGCCGACGCTCTAGGACAAGCGGTTCCGGAGATACGAGGACGTACCGCAAGGAGTCCGTCAAAGCAACGTTTTAGTTGGAGGCCAAAATCATCATCGGCCTCTGGCTGCGTTCCACTTGGGTGTCCGGGACTTTTGACTTCAGAATAGTGTTAAGGTAGTGCTAGACTACCAGGAACCCGTCAGGGGTCGCCGTCGGGCCAACGGTGCGCCCAGGATGCCGACGAACGTGAGGCACGCCGGAGCGCCGTGGCGTGCCGGGTGCCTACACAATCGTCGCCACCGCCGCGGCCGCTGCCGCCGGGTCCTCAACGCCACCACGGCCAGGGCCGATGCGGCCGTTCGAGCACACGGCGGCGGCGACGGTGCCGACGGCGTCGTCTCTGACCTTGAAAGCACACGGTGGCGACGAAGGACACGCCGGCGGCATCAGCCGTCGTCCGGGCACGCGGCAGCGGCGTCGGCCCTGGCCGTGGTGGCGTTGACGGACACGTCGGCGGCGTCGGCGCCAAGGGCGTCGGCCTCCGTCGTCCAAGCTGTGGATCGCGACGTAGGACACGGCGGTGGCGGGGGCGACGCGATCGTTCAGGCACCTTGCCCGCCACGGCGCGTCAGTGTGCCTGACTTCGTCGGCACCCTCGGCGCACCGGTAGTCCGACGGCGACCCCTGACGGGTTCATGGTTGCCCGGGAGCACCCCAACGCAGTGCTCAAGTCAAAAGTCCCGGACACCCAAGTGGAACGCAGCCAGAGGCCGAAGCGGCCGTTGGAGCACACTAACGGCCGACTAAGCACGTGGTGGCGTCGACGTACACGTCGGCGGCGTCGGTGCCAACGGCGTCGGTGCCAACGGCGTCGGCCTCCGTCGTCCAAACTCGCGGTTGGGGCGGAGGACCCGGCGGCAGCGGCGGTGGCGACGATTGTTTAGGCACCCGGCACGCCACGGCGCTCCGGCGAGCCTCACGTTCGTCGGCATCCTGGGCGCACCGTTGGTCCGACGGCGACCTCTGACGGGTTCCTGGTAGTCTAGCACTACCTTAACACTATGCTGAAGTCAAAAGTCCCGGACACCCAAGTGGAACGCAGCCAGAGGCCGATGATGATTTTGGCCTCCAACTAAAACGTTGCTTTGACGGACTCCTTGCGGTACGTCCTCGTATCTCCGGAACCGCTTGTCCTAGAGCGTCGGCGACCTCGGCGTTGGACTCCCCGTGTGCTGGGGACCTCGAGGACACCATCGGGGACCACCTGGGTGGTGGCGACAACGGTGTTGAACCGTGTGGCGGCACAGCAGCCACGTTCGTCGGCATCCTGGGCGCACCGGTGGTCCGACGGCGACCTCTGACGGGTTCCTGGTAGTCTAGCACTACCTTAACACGATGCTGAAGTGAAAAGTCCCGGACACCCAAGTGGAACGCAGCCAGAGGCCGATGATGATTTTGGCCTCCAACTAAAAAGTTGCTTTGACGGACTCCTTGTGGTACGTCCTCGTATCTCCGGAACCGCTTGTCCTAGAGCGTCGGCGACTTTGGCGTTGGACTCCTCGTGTCCTGGGGACCTCAAGGACACCATCGGGGACCCCCAGGTCGCAAATCCGTGGACCTCGGCGTCAAGGCCTTTGTTTCCAGACATTATCTGGGAAATTTCCAGATATTATCTGGAAAATGTTATTTCCAGACATTGTCTGGAAATGCCGTTTTTTTTTCAGATATATATCTGGGATTTGACCATTTCCAGACATTATCTGGAAAAAGTAGACATTTCCAGACACTGTCTGGAAAAAAACGGCCATTTCCAGACAATGTCTGGAAATGGGAAAAAATGTCTGGAAATTTCCAGACATCGGTTTCACCGTGTGCCTTTGTTACGGAGTGCGATTATGCGCCTTAGTTGGGAGCAGTCTTGTCTCAAAGTTGATCAAAACGGTCAAAAATGCCATTAAAGTCGGTTTTGATCAACTTTGAGACAATACTGCACCCAAACTAAGGCGAGTAATCGCACTCCGTAACAATGGCATCCTAAAGGAAGGTCTAAAGACCAAATGCCTGGTTGCCTACCCGGGCGGCGCGCGCGACCTCCACCGCCTGTGGCCGAGGGGTGCGTCAAACTGGTTGCCCACCTGGGTGGCGCGGTGCATCGTCCTTACGGGGAAGTCCGCAGTTTCCAGTGTGGGCTGCTGACCCTTTTCTGCTTATTCTCAAAGTGAAAACTCCAAGGAGTCCGAGTAGGCAACGGCAAAGCGGCCTTGCGACGGGGAAAAGGGGCGTAATTGCCGTTCAACATTTTGTGGCATTTAACATAAATTTGTTGTTTTTTGGAGTTTTGACTGTGTTTGAGGCCCCAAAACTCAAATGCACGTGCAGCATCGTGATCCTCGGGAAATTCTGCGTCCGTTAGACTACTTTATTTGCCACCTAGGACGTTTTTTGAGGAGGCCATGCCTGTTTAAAGGTTTCATAGAAAAACAAGTTTTAGGGAAAAAGTCAAAAGTTGGGTATAGGGCTAGCTCCTAAACGAGACCCATACACAATATCGGGGCCCATCTTAAAATTAAGCTTATGGTGTCCCTTAACTGAAAAAAAGTTGAAACGGGCATGTTTGGATTGGGGGCTAGTGGATACGGCCTGTCGCGTGAACCCCTAAAATAACTGAATTTCCGTAAAAATGTGCCATTTTTGGAATTTTATCGGAACGCTATCGGAAAACCGACGCCAGATTTGGATTCCCCACACAATTTTGAGTCTAGGAACGTCAATCAGGCGGAGGAAAGGCCGTCGGGGCGGCCAGCGCGACCACTTTTCCAAAAATGTGCATTTTGCTGAAAAAGGTGAAAATGAATTTCAGGCGAAAATTAGATTGCTCACTGCGCCCATGTTAGTTGAGCTACACTGAGAATCCAAACGCTATGAGTATAGCGTCAATTGGTGCAATGCAAAAGCATTGCACATGAAGTGCAATGCCTCCCCAGTCCCATGCATTAGCATAGGGCATTTTCGGGATGCATTGCACGTAAGGTGCAATATGGCTGAGGCATTGCACGTGTGGTGCGATGTCTCAGCTGTATTGCACCACACGTGCTATACTTATAGCGTTTGGAATCTCAGTGTAGAGGGTTCAAATTTTGTGGGCTTACTTATCCCTATGGGGGTAACATTTGAGCCAACTTTCATCAAGTTCTGACGACATGAGGTTCAGGTCGTGTCAATCCCCTTGAATTTTACCCTGTAGCACTGCCCAAACTGGTTGGGGACGGTCTTGAAGGTGCCGTCCGCGTAGATCACCTCGCTCTGGCACAGCACTTTGAGGCTCTCCTCCGAACAGAAGACGATGACGCGGTCGGGATCTTCTCTGCCTGTAATCGCGGGGGAAAATGAGTGACGCGGTAGCGTATCGGAACCTAAGGCGCGCGGACCGAAACCCTTACCGGAGTCATGGAGGAGGAAGCGCGTTCCTCGCATTGTCGTCGTGTAGGGGGCATTGAGGTCGATGTCCTGAAGCAGTCGAGGGTTTCTGGGCCGGCCGATGTTCTGGTGGATGTTGACGACGCGGCGGACACTCTGCCTCTCGGGGAGTTTCGCCAGCACTTCCGGGTCGTCCACCGCGGCAACGGCTTGCCGGATGATCTGAGATTTCGATTGTTAAGCACCGCGACACGGAGTTTAGTGTGCACCAAGTGCGCAGTACTCACTCGCTGAGGTGCGTCATTCGGCTCCTCCCGCGCCCTCCGCTTCAGGGCTTGCATCACCTTGCGCCCCTCGATGGCCCGGTGGTCTTCTACGTGGCCGAGGTGCGCCGAAGCATCCTTCAGCAAATGCAGGTTGCTCAGGTCTGCGTTGGTGTGGACGCGAGCGTTGCAGCCCGCCCGGTCCGTTCAGCGCCAGTATATTTTCTGCCCGTTCTTGCTCAAAGAGTGCTGGCAGTACGTAAAGCCGTTCAGCACCAGCAGGTCCTTCCCCCTTTTGGGGGGGGGGAGCTGCAGGCCGGAGTTGGAAGTCGATGCGATGTTCTAGCCGCACCCAGTGCCCGCAAAATGATCCGGTGCCGGTGCCCCCAAACAATGCAGGGCCACAGTGCCACTATTGTCGGCCCAATTAGTTCGGTGCCGAAAAAAACTCACGCCATTATTGGGGGCGGTCATTAAATTATGGGACATTCTACCTTGGACATTACGTGCATGGACGAAAAATCGACGGACAGAGCCGAACCGGACACGAGGGGGCCGCGACTCCCGCAATCATGTGTTCACCGGGTCGCAATCAGGCCGCAATCCTTGCAATCTTCCGAAATCCATACAATCATCAGAAATCTTTGAAATCCTCTGCAATCTGCCGCAATCCCGCGAAATCCTCTGCAATCTCGCGAAATCCTTCCAAAATCTTCCGCAATCCTGCGCAATCTTAGCGAAAACATTGTAATCTTGCAATAGACCCTTTCAGTCATCGCCTGGAGAAGGACAAAAGTAATCAAAAAGACAGGAACCAGTAGCGCGCCACCTAGCGGCCGTTACTGTGCACTGTCAATAGCTGAACCCTCATTGGTCACAAGCATAAGTCTGGACGAAGTCCATAGCAGTGGCCGCTAGGTGGCGCGCATCTGGTTCCTAATTTTTGATTACTTATGTTCTTCACTGGGTGACGACTGACAGGGTCTATCGGCCAATAATTCCTCCTCACTCGCTCCTTTCCTTCGTTATTAGTTGGCCCGTGCTGACCTCACTGAATAGCCGCCCCTGCCCCACTAAAACGGTTTCCGCTTGCAGGCGCGGGGACATCAGACAGGATATTAGGTCACAAAAAAAAAGCAAACAATAAATACGTAAGAAACGGAGCGGTCTCGCAATAATTTTAAGGTTACTGTAAAGTGAAAAAATGTGAAATATCATTATTCAAAATAATTGTGGCATCATGTTTGTATTTTGGTTTCTAGTTGCTTACTATAAGATGGACTTAAGCCCAAAGTTGAGGCACCCAACTCCCATTAGTTTCTGAGTTATTGAAGTTTACGTAACAAATTTGGTCGTTTCTCCCAAATTCTCCTTGCGAAGAATCAAAAGTTGTCGAGACTTCATTTTTGTTTTACAAGGTAGGTTTACGCCAGACCGCGTCTTGTCGTAACAGGCTTCGCGATGTCTCGCTGCCTGTTCCTCCAATCCACGCCTGGCGTACCTACCTTGGCCTGCGGCGCTAGCCTGCCTGCGGCAGGCAATGGCTCGTCCGTTGTCGGTTATTTTTTAACTTGTTGAATGCTGGGGGGCCCTACATTCTAAATAGAGTTGTTTTATCTACAGATAACACGATCTTGACCCTTGTCACTTTTTTGGCCCGCCCTTCTATTCAAAAAATAGGGGGAGGGCCTATGCATTTACCTTTGTGTCTGTGTGTTGTTGTTGTTGTAGTTGTTGTTGTTGGCGTCTGTGTACAAGGAAGGAGTTGAGCTAGAGTAACCAGATTTGGAGGGTACTTCAGGAGTACCGTCCAAACAAATAATCCGGTGGTGCAAATCCCGTCCGGGTCGCACAAGGGCTGCTGCAGGTGCATCATGGTTTACACGCGCGGGAGGGGGATTTCCGCCATTATTGGTGCTAGCAGGGCACATAGGGAAATTTTTGGAATCGGGGCGACGAGACAAGATGAATGGACCTGGTCCCGACCCCATCGGCCGCTTTTACAAGTTGGCCAGATCAGGATCTTCAAAAAAAGGGGGTCGACCGACTAAAAAAATTTATTGCAGATTTCGATTGGTCTCAGCAAGACCTTTTCAACGAGGGGTCGGAAAGGGGGTCCAGGAGCCTGACTTCGTCTGTTAGTCACATCAGGATCTTGAAAAAAGGGGGTCGACCGACTGAAAATTTTTACTTAAGTTTTGGATAGGTCTTGGCAAGACCTCTTCAACGAGGGGTCGGAAGGGGGGTCCAGGAGCCCGCCTTCATGAGTTATGGGAAAAAGTGCGACGGACTCGTTTTGCGCTCCTGCTGTGCCTCTATTGCAAGGAGTTGCAGTAGCATGGCAAATATGGGTATTTTCGGAATGAGGGCGAAGAGACAAATGAAATGGGCTTCTAAGGACAATTGGAGTAAAAAGTGTAAGGACTATTGCATATTGTGAACAGAAGGGCGGGCCTAAGTCTCGATGGTACATCGATAACTTTGCTTTACCCGCTCACGGTGTGTGTGATGCGAGCGGGCCGAAGGCCCGGGCCTTCGACTGGCCAAGTTGGGTCTGATGCGAGGGCCGAAAGGCCCGAGAAAAGGCCGCCGGCAGGCCAAGCTGGGCCGGCCCCCTGTCGAACCGAGTTGCCGGCGCAGCGAAGCGGAGCTGGCAACTCGGTTCGACGGAAGGGCGGGCCCTAGCTTGTTACTTGTCGAGGCTGGGGGGCTCCGCCCCCCAGACCCCCCTTTCTCCAAGACAGAAGTGGTCTATCTGCAGAAATCTCTATTTTTCGCCGTTTTTTAGGTGTTTTTCGCCTATAAAAACTGAACCAGTTGAGCTAGGATGGTCAAATTTCGCGTGTGCCGAGCCAAGGACATACCTAAGAAGTGTGCAAAATCTCACCGAGATCGGCCGAGCCGTTCAGGAGGAGTAGTGCGGACAGACAGACAGACAGAGACAGACAGACAGACCGACAGACAGACAGACAAAACTTTTCAACCCCACTGGAGTAACAGGCTTCGCTATCGCTCAGCCAACAAGTTGTTTATTTATTTGCCTATCGCGAGGCATAGCCGGATTTCCAAATTTCCAACATATAACAGGAATTTTTCTCCCAAAAAAAAAATCCAAATTTTTTCAATTTTAGTAAAATAAGGAAAAAAAATATTTTTCAAAATAAGATTCCGGCTGCCCTTTGCATATGCAGTCAAATCTGACCTTGCTAGTGTGTTTGCACGTCTATTGGGCTCTAATTTTAAAAATTACACTTCCGTAAACTTTTTGGTTCATCTCAAGGAGAATTTTTAA